ATGCGCATCCAGATGCGCGGGAAGGTCTCCAGACTGTGGAGCGGCTTCAGATGCTGCAGGAAGATCTTGGTGAGCAGGGGGATGGCCCGCATGCGAGGGTCCGCGTACTCGGCGACGGGAGCTGTGCTGCCGGGAGCCTCACTGAGAGCACCGAAAATGCCGCTGAAGAAGCCAAGGCCGCCACCACCACTGCTGCCACCGCCGCTAGTCTGACCTGCGGTATTGTGAGTGGAAAGACCACCTACGCCAGCACTGGTCGTTTTGAGGTCTCCGCGCATGCGACGAGCCTCATCGAGGAAATCAATCTCCAGGAAGTTGGTCAGCAGGGGGAAGAGAACCTAAAGACGCAAACGGGGCGGTGAAGGGAAAACACGCCTTTTTCAAAACCGGGAGACGTCGAACGAGGACACATAGTGAGCTTTCACATATGTCTCAATAAAGGCAAGTTGAAGGCACGGGCACTGGCATTGGCGATTTCCTTCAAGGTATTATACAAACGTTTATGGAGGTTTTCAGAAAAATCTCATGGTAAGGAATGTTTTAAAGCGGAAAATTGCTTTTAAGCACATGTACACAAAATTTCGGGTAGACGTGATTTAACGCAGAATAAACATGAGGATGTAAGCCTTTGTGCGGCAACGCAAACTTACGCTACTTAGGTGGCACACACTGCCTTATTATATATATAATACAAGGATGGCTGTATCCATGCTGACGGACGCCGGGAGTGAACGTCACTTACCTAAGTGACAGACGACTGTTCAAAACCCAACACATGCGAGCCTCTACGGGGGCTCTCCTGCTCACGCACTTGGTGTGTGGTTGTGGAGTGTGGGTCTCTTCGCCTCCGACTGCCATAGAAAAGACAGTGATCATGAACCAACCAGCGCCAAATACTAACTACAACGAGCCCAGAATAAATGTCAATAAACCTCTCCTCGCATATATGGACGAATTTGCGTACCTGGCAGCATGACATCTTGACCGTCGATTCCGACGTGTGTTCCCCAACAAGGTGAGGCAGGGACGGCGACTTGAGCGTGAATTAGTTTATGGTGATAGTAGACTTGCAAAGCATCTACCGAACTCTCTCGTCCCCATTCCCCATCTGGACCCGGTTTCAAGACAGAGTCAATGGCACGATCGAGCCTGCACCTTGACGTTCTACTCCACATCCCCTTGGTTCTCACAGCAAATGACTAGGTTTTTGACCAACAACAGCAATAAAATTAACAACAACACCACAAAAAGGGTCAGAAGGAAGAGAATGATGACTGGGCAGCCATGTCCATCACCTGTACACCCAGCGGGAGCGCAAGTGCATCTACCGGCAGGGGACCAGGTGTCAGGGAGCTGCCAGCGCATAACAGGCTGCGAGGGCCATGGTTTGCTGATACTGGCATAGCCCACGCTTTCAGACCCTTCTGTGAGCATAGGATTGGGCTGACTAACCCTATGGCCATAGCCTCTATCGTCACAAGTATCTGTCGGCGCATGAATTTAGTGTCTCGCTGGCATCTTGTAGATGACTCAAAATGCTTGATTGATGTCTGCTCATTGGTCACAGCCAACCAGGTGAGCCTGACAGCAAAAAGATGGACGAGACCATCAGGAGTGCCACCTATGCGAGATGCGGAACCCTGTGGAGTGGAGATCAAGTTGCGTGCTATATGCGCTTGCCGATCACTGCGTGCCGATGCGCACCTCCACTGAGTGGCCCCATCAAACAGGGATTCTCACACCACGTACAAACGGAACTTACAGAAGACAGATCGAGGGGGGAGGGTGGGGTATTGGGGAGGCGAGTTCAATCGCTCCTACCTGATAGAAACAGTCCTCCCACTGCTCGCCGGTCATAACGTGAAGGATGGGCGAAAGGAGGGCACGCTGAAGAAAGGCCAGGGCATCGGAACGGACTTCCCGGCGACAGTCTACACAGAGACGAGCAATGGACTGCAGCAGGGAACACCAGCACACGGACCAGAGGCGGCTGTTCTCCGAAGTGGAGCAGGCGAGGTGCTGCTGCTGATCCTCCTCCCCTTCTGCTGCCGCCGTTGCCGTCGTCGTCTCAGATGGCGCCTTGGTCCACTCGGCGTAGATGGAGGGCGCTCGGCTGAAGAGGGTGTAGACTAGGTCCAGAAGCTAAGGTCAGAATAAAAATGACTGCGTCAAATGCGATAAAAAATGATAAGGTGAAATCCCGCCACAGAAGATGCACGCGCAGCATGCGCAGATGCGGAGCCATTTATCGACCTGTCAAATCACATAATTCGGGACATTTTGCAAAATAGACGCCCTTCTCCCTAGAGGGGCAAAACTGAAAAACGTCATTTTATACAATGGGCGTATTTTTATGCAGCTCCATGGTCAGAAGTCGAAAGTCAGCAAAATTTGCATTTCCCCAAGCCTACTAGCACTGAGAAAGTAGGTATTTTTTAAAGGTACGACCAAGCAGTTCGGGTGTTCCGGGGCATAGACATCAAGGTAAGTTGGCCTTTCCGGCTCCATAAGGACATTTTTCGGGGATTTCTATGAGGACTGTTGCCTGATGACCAGTGCTTGGTTCCGTGGGAAAAAATCTGCACTCGCTGCTATATATCGATATATCGAGTCATTCAGGAAGGGCACGTTAGTCGTCGTCGTCGTCGTCCGCGCCATGGGCTCCGTGTTGCTGTCCGTAATCCGGCGATGCGGACCACCTGCAAGCGTCGGAAATGTCCAGACCTGGTGCGACACAGCTTGCTATGACGTGAAATAACTCCCGGAGCTTCTGGCCTCCGCTGATGGAAGAGGAGGAAGTGGGTTGAACTCCACAGATCTGCTGCCGCAGATCATCACGTGTGGGGGGATGTACACTTTGTGAAGCCGGATAGATCATGCAGGATCAGAGTCGCGCCAAGTACAGATACGTGAAGACCAACACCCCACCCACACCCGGGGACTGTTTTCCCTTCCAGAGGATACACGCATGAACACCAGCGATGGTGGTGAGGACAACGGTTGAACAGGCATTCACTCCGGACTTCGAGTATCATACACATGCTGGTTCCTGCACTCACATAAACAATACTTAGATACTTCGGATGTCATAGCAATGAGAGCTGTTGCGTAAGAGGGGGTCGGGTCATTGCGACCAGACAAACCATAGAGGGCCGCCCTCCGGCGCTAGTTATAGGCGTCCAAAGTGGCAGGTCTTAAAGCTTTGCGATGGTTTAACAGCGCACCAGATGTATGATGGGGCGAGAAAAGTAAGTGTAAAATCGACCTCATGCAGCGCCCTTCGGTTATTGGTCAAAATTGCTTTCCATGTAAAAAAACACAGTAAGGATAACAATTCGTTTGACGCCACTAACGAGAATTTTCAATGTCTCGGTAAATTTGCACGTGAAAACTAGACTACAACGACGCAGGTTCGCATGGGAAGCAGCTACAGGTGGTTCTAGTATGCAAAATGCATAAGACTGAACGCGAAACGGTAGTGCCAAAATGGTCGAAGGTAATGTAAAAAAATGAGCTACTGAACGCAAGTTAGTAGTATGACTAAGATTACGCCTTCTCGATTAACGTCTACGCGTACCTCATATACTCGCAGGCACAAAGCAGATTGCGAAGTACTGTTTTCCGAGTCTTGTTAAGGAAAGTCTCCATGAAGGTTGAATGGCAGGTTGAACTTCAGTCCAGGGAAAAAACAAGATGAACTTATTGTCTGGCAGCCCCCAAACCATAATCACCGGTAGGCGTATTGGATGCTTCATAGAGGAGAAAGTGTGAACGAGATCTTAACCGAATCGGTCTCACCAACTCCGCCCTCTCTCACCCTGCATCAGTGGTAGAACCAAGCCAATATGGCTGGAGAAGGGCGCCGTCGAGCGTGTATTACTGTAGATGACTTAACTCATGAAACGTCCAGAAAGGAATTTGAGAGGGTAGTACGGCATACATTGAGTGCGGTTATTTCTGTTTACTGAATTGGTTTGTCGCACAGAAAGTCTTTTAACAAAGAAGAATTCATTTTAGATCTACCTTATGGTAGAAAAGCAGGTCGAGATTGGGCGTTCTGCCATAATGGAAATCAATAAAAACAAGTGGATCCATTACTGAAACGGAAAATAGGATTTTGCGTCCATGAAAATCAGGTCGATTCAGGAATGCGAAATCGCATTGTTTCCGAAAAACAAGAAACAGATTAAACTTCGAAAGTCCAGCTTTTGATGCCGTAAAATACAGTAAAGAAGTTTCCTAGCAATGGCTTACATTAACACACCGACAATTTCGTCGGGCATAAAATATGAAAACAATGCGATTTCCTACCAAATTAGCAAAAGAAATCATATATTTATGCATGTTCTCTATAAAATATATTTAAATTTATAAGATCATTGAAAATCAATAGGAAAAATGCCTGCAACCTAAGCAGTCATTTTTTACCGAGTGTGGTTTCTGCAGGTCAAAAAGAAGTGCATTCAAAAGCCGACACCCTGGCGAGTCCGAAATGTTATAGGGTTATGCTGCATGATAATCAGTATAACAACCCCACTTAAGTAGTCCTTCCTAATCGGAAACACATTCCAGGATTTTGGCCAACATTTTATGAGATCGGTCACGCACTGTACTATTCATAGGCTATCATTGTGGAAAGGCACCTACTTTTGCAATGATGCCTTATTTTTAGACAAGCCTCCGAGGTCGGCCCAGGTGGTCATAGGTGGGAAGAACTTCCCACGAGAACAGACTGTGTCGACAGCAACCTTCATGACCTATCGACGCCTGATGGCTTGGACGACCTTCAAATTCGGAGAACGACTGATATGGCGCCCAACCGCGGGGAG